ATATTCCCTTATTTTATTTTTTTTTAAACTCTGACTTGCTCTGGAATCAGTCAACTGTGGGAATCTTGCATTTCTTTCAAAAACCACTCTTAATATAATAAAGGAGAGGAAGGGGACTCTATTGCTTCAATTTAATTCTCTTCTAATTTATCCACAACTTAGGTTTTACTTACAAGCATTTGTCACAGCAAAACTGTTGGCTGTCTCAATGTTGTCCACATGAGGTACCAAATTAAAAGGAGCTTCCGACGCATTGGGGCTGGTGTTATGAAGAAAAATTGCTAATCGAAAAGCCGTGTACTCCTGATCTGTGTTTCGGATGAAGAGACCACCTATTAAAAACAGCAGGAAAAGCACATTCAGTGTTTCCTCTTGGAAATGCAATACCCACCCTCAAGCACTGTCAAATCCACTGCCATTCAGCAACACACACAATTAAGAAGCCCTCCCTGCCACATCTTGAGACTGCCCTTTGTCCCTAAGGTGCATGCTTAGTATTTCAGTCTTTAGGACAGCTCAGTGCTTTCCTGTCCCAATCTGTCATGATCACAATGACCTCTGAGACCACTGAGCGTGTTTTCCTTCCTCTCTCTTGCCCTCCCCATGATTCCCAGCACACTGCTACATCAGCCAAGCTCGGGGCATTTCTAAGAGGCATGCAGATGAACAGAAGAGAGGGTCTGCATTAAAATGCAGAAATAAAGGGACGTGGTGACACTAAGGGCCGAGGCGAATCAGAAAGGAGACTTGAACTTTGTTTTCCTGCAGCTTGTGGACTCAGCCTAATTAGCCCCGTTTTGTGCACAGTCCACGAGAAATGATGCAGTGTTGAGGCTGGGCTTAGCTGGAAGAAATTCAATAGCTGCGTCCCATAAAAAGACAGGAGAGAACAGCAAGGAAAGCCACGGATGGGTAGGGTCGCTTGCAGTGGAGTCCAGCGGGAGGAATATGGGCAAAAGACTCAAGAGGAAAACAAAATAAAAGGAGAGAAGGTTTCCAGGAAAGCGATCTAACTTTGGAATCGGTTAACGGGCAGCGAGAAAGACAAGGGGGTGCGGGTGGAAACGCTTTTTGCCCAGTGTCTTTCTGGAATGGCCAGAAAGCTGAGAAGTCCAGCATGGGAAAAAATGTGTTTAAAATACAGAATAATAATTTTTAAAAACCCCAACAAACTCGACACCCCTTCACGCTCTGGAGAGAGGAATGAGAAGAAATAGCACATTCAATGTAATCAGACCCCACGGAGGTTTTTGGTTTTTTTTTTCCAACTTATTCCAACCCCACTTAAGCGACTTGAACCAAAGGTAGCAGTGGGAGCACGGACGAGGAGGAACGGGCGGGCAGGGTGTGCACATTGCAACTGAACCAGCCCCGAAGAGGCAGCCTTCTGCACAGGGGCGAGGGGAAGGGAGAGGCAGAGGGGAAGGGAGCCGCCGAAGGTCTCCCCGAATTGCTCACCCGCAACTCATTTAACTCACTTTCGGATACCTGCCACAGCACCCACATGCACACCCCACCGGGCAGAGCTTACCTATCTGCACGCTGCTCGGAAAGGCTCCCATGGCGAGTCCCCAGAATCCAGAAAACAACAAGACAATCTGTCTGCAAATAATCCTCATCTTCTTTTCTCCTCTCCCTGGCGCGCGCTCTCTCTCTCTCACTCTTCCTAAAGGCTGTTCAGAGAGGCATTGACGACGATGGCGCTAAAATTAAAAACAACAACAACAAAAAAAAAAAGAAAGAAAGAAAGAAAGAAAGAAAAAAGGAAAGGAGAGAGGTGTGGATGTTTGGTGATTATGACCGCCCCCCTTCAGCAATCCATCGCGAGCTGCCAGATTTTTCCCGCAGTCTCCATAGCCCCGAGAGCGGTTTCCTGTCCGGCTGCAAATGTTGCACATGCAGAAGATGGTGGTGGCGCGTCTAGTGGCTGCTCGCGGGGACGAGACATGCGCCCTGTCCTCGCCTCCCTCGCGCCCGGCCCGCCGCT